CAGAAAAAGGTTACATTTGACCATTGAAAGTATTTTTTCATGTAGCTTGGTATCAAAACAAGACTGGATAAACGTCAAAATCAATCATTATTATTATTTGGGGAAAGAATGCTATGTATGCTGTATTGGCAATTATATCCACTCTGTTTAGTCTTTTTTGCAAATGCTTAAGACCTCTGGCCGTATTCCACCACTGACTCTTGTTCTTTGTTTGACATTGACAGGCAAGACAGCCTTACCCACCCCCACTTGTGTGGGGAGGTGGTGTTGGAGCAGAGTCCGCCACTGGAGAGACCCACCCAGTCCAGGAGACCACCTTCCACGTTCCCCCTCAGCACCCTAAGGCCCTGCATCCCCACTCACATACTCATCACCACCACGGGCCGATGATGGCTACACGCCCACGCCCACGCCACTACACCTCCCCGACACACAGCTCCTCGACACAGGACTCCATGGAGGTGGTTCATGGCCATCTGTCCATGACCTCTCTGTCTTCCTCTGCCTCCTCTTCCTCTACATCGTCCTCTTCCACTGGAAACCATGGCAACCAGGCCTACCAGCTCCGCCATTTGCCTGTCGGAGCTCTTGACTTTAGTCAGAATGGTGGGCTGAGCATGGGGCTAGGTGCCTTCTCGAACCCACGGCAGGAGACTGGCATGGCCGCGCACCCTGCATTCTCCATGGGCACGAACACAGGGCCTGCCCACTACCTAGCGGAAGGCCACCTGGGCATGAGGCAGGGCATGGACCGGGAGGAGTCTCCAATGACTGGAGTGTGTGTGCAGCAGAGTTCTATGGCCAGCTCGTGACTGCACTGACATTTGGCTGTGTGTTCCCCCCTGTGCGTCATTTTTAAGGTGGTGTTTTTTACTACAAGGTGTGTTGAGAACAAAAGCTGCTCACGTCAGAAGGGAGATATCACTGAACCGCTACTACAGAGAAAAACCTTTTGTTAAAAAGTATATATGTAATTTTCATCAGTCTTTCTTTTGCAATCATTAGGCACAAAATAATACCGCGGAATAACCATAGTGAGATTGAGACATCCATCTTACCATTTCACCAGTTTCATGTAACCACCAAGTAATCACCATATGGTATTATGTGGCAAAATCTTCTAAGGAGCATTTCAGAGCAAAGTTTGATGCTGTTTTGCAGGTAGCTGTTGGTGATGAAATGCTTGGCGTCCTCTTTCGGTTCAAACCGTGGGCTGCCTGACATTACTGTTCCACTGGTTCTTTATTATTTTGCCCTTTTTAAGTGAAATTTCTCGTAAAAAGCTGCTTGTAAATCCTGTAGCTTGACAATGAGGGGAAGTGTTTGCGGTGATATTTCTTGTTGGTCGGTATTGTGTAACTCTGTCAAAGGGGAGCACATAGCAGTGGAGTCCCTAAAGCGTGTGCTGGCCGGGCGGAGAGGAGACCTTGCAGGTGGATACTGACACCGACTGGGTCAAAGGAGAGGGAGGCACCACCCTTCAGGCCTAGAGGCCCCGTTGTCCTGCAAGCTGCACCCTGGCCCGGCACAGATGAGAGCAGCGACGGGCGCAGGAGACGCAAGGATCCAGCCCGGGAAAGGAAGACAGTCAGTGGCTGGTTCTAGATAACCCTTTGGCCTTATGACTCATGGACTTGGAATGGGATGGAGCTGGACATTATCATTTGAATTAAGATGGCTTTTCTCTATTTTTCTCTCTAGACAGCCCTTAATTCTTTAAGGAAATTAAAACAACTTTAGAAAAGGTAAATAAGAATGGTAATTTGAGGCCTTTCTCGACAAAGATTTCTTCTTCAGCAGGGCCCCACATAACAGGGTCTTATTGTACACAACAACCTCCTAAACATTACTTCCTTGAAAATCTTATTCACTGGTTAAGGATTTTGCAGTGGAAAGAACTATCTATTCCAGAGTCTACCCTTTTATGTTTTGTTATTTTTCCCTTTTGCATGTAGTTCCTCATCAGAACCACCTGCACAAGTCTCTCCATCCAAAACATGGAAACTGAAGAAAAAAAACGAGTTAAGTGACTGCCTTTTTTCTCCTCAAATTATGCTGTGAATTTTACAAGAATTTATTTTCCCTTTGGATATGTTTTTATACCAAAGCAGTTGTTTTATAGCATATAGGTGTCTGTAACCAATAATGTAGCAGTTCACCACTTTGACGCAAAGTTTATCAAGATCTTATTTTAACGTCAATACAAACAGCTGCAATATATTACTTTTAGCAAAACTGGAGACCGTTGTTGAGACCGTTGGCTATTGTGTATTCTGGCCAGATTTGTTTGCAACGTTTTACCAAAACTGTTTCCATATTAATTGGTAGATTATTTTGGGAGTCTTTTAAAACTTTGGTATGTTAGAGAATTTGGTAGTTACTCTGCAGGCTCCGGAGTAGCAAGATAGAAGCTGATGGTTTAAAAAAAAAAAAGAAAAAAAAAAGGAGACTAATGCGTTCTATTTCTGTGTCGTCGTTTTTCTTTTTGCCCCCATCATACTATTTCAAAGGGTTTTGCTGCCTTTCATACATCATTTGGTCAACTTGGCTAGTTTCTGCCGTGAAAGCAAGACTTAATGTCATTGTCTTGGCAGGGTAAAGATAATTGTGGCAAATCAGTTTGTGATGAATGCTATTTTTCTGATTTGGTAGGGCAGATCCCCCATGATTGTTGTCCTATTAAAAAGGAAAGGGTGTCCGTCAGCCCACAACCACATGCTTTGCCTAGGCAGACATGCATGTCCTCAACATAAGTCAATAACCAGATTTTTTTTTTTTATATCAGGGATTTTGAAGTGCTTTCTTTCTTCTGTTGCTCATTTTACCAGCTTTGAAATTCGACAGAAAAACCTGCCCACAGCCACCTTTCAAAAATAAGGGCAGGCCACAGGTCATGCTCTTGCCATTTTTAAAGGAGAAACCATCATAAGAGATCATGCTTGGTATTTCCACAAACACAAATGTAAAGCTACCTATAATGAGATTGGGGTTTTATCTGGATGTCAAGGTTAATTGCAAATTTGCAATCATTTTTCATACCCCGCAGAATTTGAGACATTTAGAAATGGCCAGTGGTTTTATTACTGGCACTCATACTGGTACTAAACATTCCAAAAATAAAGACTGAAAAAGAAAAAAAATTGACTGCAGTGACTCGTAAGTGTGCGCCTATTTCAGATCATGCTGATTGACCTCTTATTTAGAGCAGTTGTCATGAAATGCAGCCCCTTTTTAATAGTTGAAATAGAATTTATGTATATATTTATATTTTTTTAATAAAGGAAGTATAGAACTCACTACCTTGCTCCTGCTGGTATGTTGATTATGTTTGTCAATTTGGTGACCATTCAGTGGGCAGGAACTCCTGTTTTCTTAGTGGCAAAACCTTGCCTTTTGGCAAAGGTACTTGACTACATCAGGACAACACTATGAGGTAGGGTTTGAATCAAACAGGGAAAGCTAGATCTTCAAACCTTAATAATTTTCACAGGGTATATTGTAAGTGCATGTACATCACAAACCTTACTTTTTGGTTATATGAGAAGCACATGGTTGAAAAAATAAGGTTCCATCTTTCATAAGCCTGTTCAGTTTGTGGGTTATACACAAACACGTATACTTGTCGACATATCTGAACACCCAACAGAAGTTGAAATCCTCTTATTTAATTTGGATTTATCCTTTTCATTTTTAATTTCACATTTTTTCACTTTTTTTGTACATGCAACATGCACTATAGAATTGAACAGCATGGGGGAAAGGATAAGTCCATGTATCCACAGATTGTAAGATCTAGTCAAGACTTTGCTGTGTTTATGACAATGCCCTTTGTATTATATTAAGACAGTCTTATGTATGATATATAAAAAGAAGTTAATTGAATTGCTTTGTGTGTCTTTATTGTTCTCCATCTACATTAAGTCATTTTCAGAAAGAGCTCACTCTTCACCCCAGGTAACATAAAAACTCATCCAAAATTTTATATTTTTTATCATAGCCTTTGCAATAAATAAAATGCGTAGCAACATAAAAATGTATAAGCCTAAAATAGAAATGCGTGACCTTATTTATATGAGGCATTTTATAAGATCAGAAAGGCCTGTAATTGATGTTCTGGCTCGTTGGTCTAGGGGTATGATTCTCGCTTCGGGTGCGAGAGGTCCCGGGTTCAAATCCCGGACGAGCCCTTAGTTTTACTCAAAGGACGGAGGCTGTAGTTAACAAAATTGGTTAGTCGCAATTTACTCACGTGTAGTTCAGTGTAGTTTGATAAATCAAATAATGTAATAAAAAATATAATCCTAAATTCATTATACTTTATGCGATTATGGATTTGTTGAGCTATTCTGATACCGAATACTGACCGTATTGTCGATCGTGTCGATTGTAATGTGTTGCTCGGTTCCAGACTGAAAAGGAGGGCTCGTCCGGGATTTGAACCCGGGACCTCTCGCACCCTAAGCGAGAATCATACCCCTAGACCAACGAGCCAAATAACGGGGATTGGGTATCATTTTCAGTTACTAATTGTAGGATAAAGACGAACTACTGTTTACTAGTTTATCTAATAAACGGGTTTTCTCTTAACCGATTTGACTGCATTTAAGACAGCTAACTTAATGAGGAAGAATTAGTAAGTTATGGGATTTCATAGTTACCAATTGCAATTGGATTTAACGTTATGTTCTAAATATGGCTAGATATTTGTTTGAAACCCTAGGTCATATAACGAGCTAACGGGTAAGGTAGCTACAATCTTCTTGGAAAACCTCATCTATCGTTAATATATTAAGCACAAAGACAATCTACAATTTAAGCAGGCTAACTCTTGTCATCCAGTGGGAGAGCCAGTGGGGGGCAGCAGCAGTAAACCTTGGAAAGCTGCTGTCAGTATATTTAAGGGTGAAGAAGAAATATTTTATGTATTTTAATTGGTCATTAGAAATGAACAGCGTACTGTCAGCAACCAATAGTTATACCTCAGAATGTGTGTACGTCCAATCAGGAACCTGGTAGGCGGGACGTCGTCCTGCAGAACGATCTACTCAAAATTCAACCGTTGTGATAGTGTTCACGAATCCACTCCACAAACTGTTTGATAGTTTGATGGAAACCCAAACGCACACTAGTTGAGGCGTTTTAAGTGTTCTGCTAGCCTGAGAAAAGGATATGGTTCCACACGATTAAGTAAAGGAAAGCGCTTAAGTTAGGTTAGCTAAGCTAACTACCTAGCTTGAAGCATGCCGAATTTTTGCGCGGCCCCAAACTGTACACGGAAGAGCACACAGTCAGATTTGGCATTTTTTCGTTTTCCACGGGACCCAGAAAGGTAGGAAGGAAATATTTTAGAGTCACCCGATTAAACAGACTGAAACCTCAATGTAATCCTTAACATGACTGCAAACTGTGATAATTCAGTGAGAGCTCAACGATCATAACATTTGCAAAGCTGGCAAACGAACTAACCAAAGCTTTACCTTATATACAGAGAGAAACGTTTTTCATGTTGGGTCTAGGCTTGTTATTCATTTTAAAAATACATATCTAAATATATTTTGCAGAGAGTGATGTTTGACTTAAATTAGGTGACACATCTATCTATGGGCGTTATATCTGACTTGTTTTTGTTGAATGGCCAGGTCTACTTTAGTGCCGTGGTAGAGAAAGTGTGTCAGAAGTAAACATGTACTAATACCACACTATACAATTAAAACTCTTGTAAAAGTTCTGCAACAAAACATTTAGTATAATTAGACAAATGTAACTAAAAGTAAAAGAACACAATGCAGAAAAATATTCCCTGTCACTGTTAACTATTAAAATATTGTATTGCACATGCAATCATTGTATGGGAGCACATACTATGGATAATATAAGTTGTGTTTACAGACACAGCCACCTGTCTCAGAACAGATTTGTTTTGGATGTCTCATAAAGCTGCTATGTGTCTCCTTTAGATGCCGAATCTGGGTAGAGAACTGCCGCAGAGCAGATTTAGAGGCAAAAACGTCAGACCAGCTGAACAAGCACTACAGATTATGTGCCAAACACTTCGACCCTGCGATGGTGTGCAAAACCGTGAGTATCTCAAACAAGTCTAACATTTCTACTTATTTTCCCAAAAATGGGATTATCCCAATTGTATTTATTTATTTTTATAATTTGCATTGTCTTTCAGAGCCCCTACAGGACTGTATTGAAGGACACAGCCATTCCAACCATATTTGATCTGACAAGCCATCTAAAGAATCCTCATACCAGACATCGCAAGCGAATAAAAGAACTTGTAAGGAAAATATTTAATAGTTTCGCTGTTTTAAATTAACTTCTTAAGCATGATAGTTCACAAACCAGTGCATGACATTAAGGATTTTGGGAGATGGCCCTGTGGGCCATCTAAGCTAATTTACAGATGGCCCTGAGCCCAATGGAGATTGCCCTGAAAAATGCGCGCGGACTAAATGACGCACGAAGGGTTTGGGGGGCCTCCCCCTAGAACATTTAGATTGTTGCAGGTCTTAGATGCTGTCTGGTGCATTCTCTAGACAGAATTATAAGATGAACCACCACAATATTATATTGTACAATTTCAATTTTATTCTTCATTTCACTTGTTTGTTTGTTCTTGTTTGTGTTTGCTCGCTTGCATGCCCTGCATAGCTATAAGAAATACTTAAGTTGTTGATCAAGACACTTTCCATCTGATGAAGGCATGCCTTCCCAGATGTAAAAAAGTAGAAAACATTACATTCAGTTATAACTGCCAAAACAAACATTATTTACACTATTATGGCCCCTGTTAAAAATGTTTGTAATGTTATCTACTGTAAGTTGGTCGAACGAATGCCTCTTCATCCGGAAGCTGACCGAGCAGACCCGAGCAGCAGTCGAGAGGAGCCGAGCGCGTCCGCGAAGCACACAAAATGGCGACGTCAGAGTTCCCGTTAGCCGGCAAATCTAAATCTCTTCGGTCAAAATGTCCGGTCAAAATAATTTCCCTTTAGAGCAATACCGCTTCAGTTGCGCCACTTATGTGACAGACAATAAGAGTATGTGACAGACAAGAATAGTCAATTCTAATGTCTAACACTTAACGTGGAGAAAGAGATGTCCTGTATGGGTTGATTGTGCGTTGATCTGTTGGTAATGCCTCGGGGTTCCGGTGGGCATGTAAACAAATGCATAATGCTGCGCTATACTTTGTGGCCTCACCCAGTTGCATAGCGACACTTATTGTTTAGGTGTCTTTTAATAAGCAGGTAGTCATATCATTAGCTAGAACTAGCTGGATCTGATCGATATGGACATAAACGCGAGTGAAGTCTAATCTGACGGGAGAGAGAGATCAGCTGCTGCTGACGAGTCGACACGCAGCTCTGCATGATCACATGCAGCGGTGAGCGGACAAAACACACACTTCAGGTTAGAATATCACACATAGCTATTTTAATGACCTCTCAAACTACCTAAACTAGTTATAGATATGTTTAGTTTTACTGTCGGGTCACTCATTACTGATCCGCGAGCTGCATGATACTGACATAATAGATTGCCCGATCGGGCAACCAGCAGGTGAGGCTTCATTGCCCGAGCTAAATACTAGATGGCCCCGGGCCATCGGGCAGTCGTTAATGTCGAGCCCTGCAAACTGTTGTCTGTTTTTTGTAAATGACCTGAGTTTTTCATTTTAGACTGAAGAAGATTTAAGGAAGATTAAAGAAAGGAGATGTAAGTAAATAGGAAATATATTTTGTGGTCATTAAGGAAAAATAATGTTTATTTTATTATTATTTACTGAAAATGATCACTGTTTACATTTTGTCTGTTTGTCTTTCCCCAGTGGCATCTTCTATTGAGCAGCTTGCTTCCAAAAAAGATGGAGCTGTTGAGGACAGCTCAAGCACCAATGAGGATGAACCTCAACTCTCCACAGAGGAGAAGGAGTTTCGTGACCACCTGCGGTCCTTGTTTGAGGTTGTGGTTATGTTAGGAAAACAAAGCATCCCAATAGTAGCTTGCAAGGTATCTGAAGCCGGACACATGTCCAGCAACCTCCAGGCCCTTGTAGATTACCGCATGAACGCTGGAGATGAAGCTCTGAAGAAGCGATTTCAGGCAACAGCTGTGAACACTGAATACCTCTCTGCAACCCAGCAGAGCCAGCTGTTGGACGTCTGTGAAAACACAGTGAGAGAGGAGATGCTGATGGAGGTGAGAGAGAGCCGCTTCTTCTCCTTGGTGACGGGTGACCTTGTGGACTTTGCCAACGAGAAACACCTGCCTCTGTTTCTACGCTACGTGAACCAGCAAAATGTCCTTCGTGAGGAGTTTTTGGACTTTATGTCATTTGATGGTGATGAGAATGCACTGGTAGAGAGGCTGGAGGCCCAGCTGACTGACCGCTGGGGGCTCAGCATGGAGGAATGCCGAGGTCAGGCCCACAAGGCTACCGGGACCTCCACCACCAAGATGAAAGCTGTGGCAGTATTACTGATGCAGAAGTATCCCCTGGCGTTGCACATGCCTTGTTCTCATATGGCGCTGAACATCCACCTGGCCAACAGTCTGCCTTTTCCTAACGTCCAGGTGGTCATGGAGACTCTGAGGAGGGTCAAAGTTTTCCTTAGCACCCCGTTTGCCCAGGAAGAGCTTGAGAAAGCCATCTCTACTCACTACCAAAAACATGAAGAGAAAGGAAATACATTAAAACTAGCCTGTGGATCAGAATGGACAGAGAAGCACAGTGTCTTTGATGTGCTGCTAGACATGTTGCCCCCCCTGCTGCTGTGCATGGACAGCATTCGTGACAATGATGATGGAACATTTTCTGATGCTGTCACAGCAGACGCATATTCAATCACAGAAACCCTGTCTGACTTTGAAATCATCGTCACCATCATCATCTTAAAGAATGTTCTCACATTCACCAGAGCCTTCGGGAGGAATCTCCAAGGGGAAACACTTGATGTGTTTTTTGCTGCAAACAGTCTCACTGCAGTGCTGCATTCACTAAACGAGGTCAATGATAACATTGATGTCTACCACGAGTTCTGGTACGAGGAGGCTGTGAGTGTGGCCAATGTAATGGAGATTCCTGTGAATGTGCCGAGGCTGTTTCTTAGGAAACAGCGTGCAGCTGATGCGGGGGAAGTCCATGCAGAAGTGTATTTTAAGGAGTATGTGACCGTCCCCGTTATCCATGGCGTCATGCAGGAGTTGGAGGACATGTTCTCCGAGACCAACCTCAAAGCTCTGAAATGCCTGTCACTGGTCCCAGCCGTCATGGGCCAGATGAAGTTCAACACAACAGAGGAGAACTACGCAGAAGTTTACCGCACCGACCTCCCCAGCCCAGACACACTTCCTGCGGAGCTTCACTGCTGGAGGATCAAGTGGAAGCACAGGGGCAAAGAGGTGCGCTTGCCCACCACCATCCATGAAACCCTTCAGCTGCCAGATGTCAAGTTCTTCCCCAACGTAAACTCCTTCCTCAAGGTGCTTTCTGCCCTGCCAGCTTTGAAACTAGAGGACAATAAAAGTGACACAGCGAGTGATCGTCTGCAGGTTTACCTTGACAGCATGTCCAGTAAGCAGTGGAACAAAAGTCTGGCGATGCTAAATGTTAACACTCGTGTTAAACATGACTTGGATGTCATGGTAGACAAATATTGCAGACTCTATCCTGAGGATGATCCTGAAGCCGAGGCAGAGTCTGAGGAAGTGGCAGAGTCTGAGGCAGAGGCAGTGGCAGTGGCCGAGGCTGAGACAAAGTCTGAGGAAGTTGCAGAGGAAGACGCTGCGATGAAATGAAGCAGCAAAGAAGCCGAATTTGGACTAAAATGGATGGTACAAATATGCCGTCACACATCTTCTTTTGGTCGCTCATTTGTGCTAGGGTGTACGCACGCCCGGATGTCACTCTTAATGATTATAATGCAAATATTTTTGTGTTAATTAGTGTCATTTGCTTTTCAGTCCATGATCCCAGTAAAAAAAAAAAGTGTAGTATCAGTGTATGTGTTAAAAATAATGGTGTACAGCTAAATCTTGCATTGTCAATAAGTAAGTACATTTGGCATAAAGAAAATTTGGAAATAATTGAACATTATCTGAAGACTGAAGAAGAACGAAAATGCTACACCACAAAATGTCCAGAGTGAAGAGAACAATGTAAATATTCCAAGTTCTGATTCTTTGTCAGACTGTTGTTATTAGAATAGCCTCCTATGTAATGATGCTGTGATATAAAGTATCTTGCAGCTATTTTTTTTTCTACATCCTTTATTTTATCTGATACATTTGGTATATGAGTTTGCTCCACAAATTACCTGCCATGAATGGCTCACTTGTAACATTTCTTCAATGTGTCTACATGATGAAGGCAATTGGCCCTGTTCATCTACAGTACAGCACAAGAGGGAGTAGTTAGTTACACCAAAATAAGATGTAGGCCTGAATTCACGGCCAATGGGGAAAAAAGCATATACATGTGTGTACATATTTTTGGATTGTTACAAAGGCCAGTATGTGTATGTCATTTATGTTCATATCGAAACGGTGCCCTTTTGGATGCCACATGTTGGATGTTCAATAACTTGTCAGGTATCACATACTTTCACAATGTTATTTCTTCTGTTTGGTTTAATAAAATAATGTGTACATAATTCAAAATGAGTCAGCTTTGTGGCGAACTGTTTTTATTTGTATCTCTCTTAAATTGCATGTAAACTTAATTTTGTAATCCATCTAGTCAAAATCTTTATTTTAAAGAAGGATGCCAAAATAATAAACATGGATTTCAGAATTAAAGCTTGTAAAAGAGAATCTTTATTCCGCCCCTCACATCATCATGATCGGCCATTTCCTCTCCATGGAACCACAGCAGGCTACTGTTACATCCCCTGACGTTGTAATTCGGCCTTTTCTGACATGGCAGCACAGGGGTTAACCATGTCTCCTCCCTCTGCTGGCCAGGCTGTGACGAGCTCAGGTGATAGTTCACCGTGCAAACTCACTCACGCAAACCGGGCATCTTGGCTACACACAAATGTGGGTGGGGTCGCTTTGATGCGCAACTAGACAGCAATGTGCACTCCACAGCACGCCCCAAAGTCCATTTAAACTTCAGTCAACAAATATCCTGCAGGAGGGGATCTACTTTCTCTCATATCAGGCAAAGAGTGGTGTGAATTGCAGAGAGCTTTAAGAAGAAATAACTGACGGGGCAGAATCTGAGAGGTTACAGGGACCAAGCCTATGCAAGTCTTCGAATCGTGAGTAGGACGTTCATTTGCACGTCAATCCGTCATCTAGAGTTTTTCTGCGCATCTTTTTCTCGCCAGCCTTGTTTTTGTATCATCATGGCATGGCCGTGCCTCACGCGTGCTTGCTGCATCAACCGCTATTGGACCGAGCTGGACAAAGGGGACATCGCGGTGCCTTTGGTTTTTACCAGATACTCGGATGTGGGCGAGGTGCAGCATCTTCCCCATCACCCGCAGCCGAGGCTGAAGAGGGCCGGGGCCATTGCCATAGAAACCCAGCCTCATTCCGGTGAGCAGGAGCCAGGGAAGGCACCGCCCGCGACGGGTGCCGCAGCGGGAAAAGATGGCTCTGCTGCGTCTGTCATGCGCCAAGACTTCAAGGCCTGGAGAGTTCGCCCCGAGCCCAGCTGTAAACCCAGGAATGAGTTGCAGCGCTCGGCGGCCCCGTTCAACAACGAAACTCAGTACCAGAAGGATTATAAGGCCTGGCCTATAGCGAAGAAGAACGACCACCCCTGGATCCCCAAACCCAGCCCCACCTCCGCGGGGCCAGCGCGAAGCGCAGGGGGCGGAAAACAGGAGCAAGCGGCCCCAGAGGTGGAGAGCGGCGTGGAGAAGAGCGAGATCGAAGAGAAAACACAGGAGAAAGAGTCAAACGAGCCGACGAAGAAGAGCGGAAAGAGGGAAAAGTCAGCAGAGAGACAAACTGTGGAGAAGACGGAGGAGCAGGTTTCTGCAGAAGTGAGCGCCGAGCAGAAGAAAGGCAGAGCGGCTGCAGACGCTCTCAACAGGCAGATAAAGCAGGTGACTTCCAGCAGCTACAGGTAAGCCTCAGGCAGCGAGACCTTATCATGTACGCTCTTTCACATTCTAAAAGCGTTTCAACTAACCTACGGAATGACTTCCTGTGTGCCAGACCGCTCCTCTGTGCAGAGATGACACATTTAAAGATCAGATCATTAACGGATATATTTGTTATTGCATTGTGTTTTTTTAATACTCTCTATGCATTTCCAAATCAAACTGATATTGCCACAGATAAAGCTTGCATTATTGATTTGTCTCTGATTTATCCTCTCTAGTGTACTAAATCAATGCAGTAGCCCAGTACAGCCAGTAAAAGGGTCTGAATGTAATCATGTGTCTTAACTTGGTTTATTAGCAGTCTTCCTCTGAATCTAATTAGGGATGCATGATGCTTGCAAACTTAGTTAAGACTTGCTGCCTTCAGTATGCCCTACTGAAATATTGAAGTTGTCGTACCAGTGCCTTTGTTAAAGGAAACTTATTCAGAGAGAATATTTCAAATTAACTCAACTGACTAATAAACTAAACATGCAACCTGGGCCAATGTGCTTTGTGAGCAAACATTGGAGATTTAAAAAATCTGCATTTGTCTTTTGAATTGGCTTTTAAAAAAAAGTTAAAACAGGATTTCCTGGTCAAATTGGCAATTAAATACTTTCTTAATATCTATTAAAAGCTAGCTTTGATATCAGAAATTAATAAGAAACTCATGAATTATTATATACTGTAAGACCAGTAACCAGTGAGTAAAGGATAATTCATTTTAGTATAGCAATAAGAACAAAAGTCTAGTCAATGCATGCTGACATTTATGGTGTTACAGAACTTAAAACTCAAACTTAAGACTTATCGTCTTACAGAACTTAAAACAGAACTCAAAAGAACATGTGAAAATTAGATTTTGACTTCAGTTAGATAGCTGCTCACGGTGATGAGTACCCATCATTTATCATAGATACCGTCCAATATTGAATCTTAATCCATGAAACAAAACTCCTTCACATTAAAAAGTAGTGACTCACTACACTCGCTTTCACACAAAATATACTCAATCAGGGAAGTAATTGTCAAATTGATTGATAATGAAATGATCGTAAATCACATCCACAGATACCTCTCTGTTTGCTTATTTCATTTTTTAGGACTGAGTTCAAGGCATATAAGGATGTGAAACCAGTGAAGGCCATTAAAGCTCCATCTCAGTATAAACCCCCAGTGGAGGAGAGCAGCCGTGAGACCAGCTACAGCGCCACATACAAGGGGGAGCAGGTGAAGGCTCAGCCCGCCGACAACAAGCTGATCGACCGCAGGAGGATACGCAGCCTGTACAATGAGCCGGGCAAGGAAACTAGCAAGGTGAGAGCGTGCGCCAAACACTGATGTGGGGACTGTGACCCTGGTAACACTATTTACTGTTATTCAATTAAGTACTTGGATTTAAGACTTGTCTTAAACTTTATTAGCCCTGCAATTATCTAGGTCTAGTACTTTGCGATAAACACTGTCAGTTTTTATTGTTTTTAACATAAATTGTTAATCACTAGAAGCGTTGATGTGTACATGGCTTCATACTGTGGCTTGGCATTGTGATTGATTAAATGCAAACACATTAAACAGCTTCAAATCTAAATTTGTATTCATTTTAAATTGCAAAATTAGCCCTTATTTTATTTCATCATGCATATAAATCAGACAGTGAAATGTTTAAGTAGCCACACTGTGTCAACTAAAAAGAAAAAAAGCAATAACATACCAATAACAAATATATTTATTGCATCCCATTTTTGGATTATAGTGACATCATCTCATAATAAGGTATGCCTTTTATTCCAAGTTATTTCTCACATAGATTGGTATCCGTGTGCATGATTGACAGTTCAGACAACAAGTGGTTAACAATGTGTCTGTAGTGTGTTCATATGGCCACTCCCTCTCTCATTCTTGTAGGACGTCTCAGAGACTGAGAGCAGCTCTGTTCTAAATCTGCTGTAGTCAGGTGTGTTGTCTGTTTCTTCAAAAGGCATGGAGGCTGACCTCAAGTTGATCAGACGCAAAAACTTGCATACTGTACACACACATACACACACACACATACACACACACACAGTCTGCGCCTTGGCTAGTACGAGCCACAGTCACGTTTCACCCAGCTGCCGGATGCAACCCTGCAAAAAGTATCAGCCACATCTTCACTGTTTACCCACCTCAGCTTGCATCACCCACCACCATTTATGGAGCAAAAGGGTGGATTCATTCATAAATAAAAGAAACAAGTAAACTTAGATTATACTTGAGAGTAACAGATTAGGATCAAAACAAAAGAGATGGGTTCAATACATTATAGAGGGCAACAAGACATTTCATAAGTGTACATTTAAAAAGATCTTCACTGTTTATGGCTCTGTGTTGGAGACAATGTATAGCTACAATTACATTTGGAAAGTATACTTTTTGTTTGTTTGTAAAATATCACACAAAATGTACCACTTAAAGAAAGGCACAACAGTGTGTTTGTGCCAATTGCATGTTATCCTTTTTAGCTTTTCATTTCAGTGTAGTAGCAGTTTGAAATTCAGTATTATGCAGCCATGAATTTGATTCTTCAATCTCCACATACAAGAGTAAAAGTAAATGTGTTGATTATAATCTGGACTGTATTGTGAATGGTGCATAATATGTTTACTTTTTTTGGTCCAAATAGCACCATGGTCCCTATTATTCTTAGGATTAGAGCATTTCCCTTTTATTCTCAGTTACAGCCTTTACAAACAGTTGTCATTGCTTATAATAAATACTTTTTTAAGATGTATTTACTCAGCAAAATGTGAGTATATTGGAGCTAATCAAGAAAATATTAAACTCAACAAGAGCAGGGAGAGGAGAGTGCCTTGCTTAATTTTCCAAGTAGGTGTAAGAGTTTGAACCAGCAATCCTCCAGTCTCACGCTTCTTAATCCTCCACTACTACTGTTAATAGTTGAATGTTATCAAAACATTACATTTCTTTTACAGACTAACATCATAACCACTAACTCTTTAGGTTATGGTTTCTTCTTCTTTTTCCATTTCAATAGAGAGGCGAAGTCACACCCATCTACTTCCAGTCTATGGGACTTTATTTCAGAAAAATTATATATTGGAGTCAATGGAGAGAGAAAACGTATCTTTCGATCCCGTTTGAATTGTGCCATGAATTACACATATGATGTTTGTCAATCTTAAAAAATAATTTCCACGTCAAAAAAGTCACAGTTTGTCGTAAAACTGTTGAAATATAAGACTATGAAAAATACGCAACTAGAAAGACTACAAATCCCAGAAACCCGGTCCCGCATGCTGGCTCTTACGGAACCGACTATCTCCCCTTGTGTGTATGTACAGCTCTCAACATGCCCAGACTTGTAGTGATTGTCACCTCTTTTAATACTTTCCGCCTCATTCTGAAAGAAAGAAGTGAAATGTGCCAACGTGACGGCCGTCTTGGTGTGTGGTGCGAGACGGGAGATGTAGTTCATTGAGCGGTTTCACACAAAAAAAGTGTTACTTCACAGTTTTACGACACATTTTAATTTTTGTTGACTTGTGTAATTCGTGGCACAATTCAAACGGGATCGAAAGATAATCTTTCTCTCTCCATTGACTTCAATACATAATTTTTCCGAAATAAGGTCCGATGGAGCTCCCCCAGAAAGGGAGGGACTTCGCCTCTCTATAGAAAAACTGCACAAACCACTGTTCTATAAAGACAAAGGCAGAAATACCTCTTGTGCTGTTTATTTTTTATTTTATCTCCATTGCACTAATCCACATAATGCAAATATCACCTATACCGTATGGTGTCATTTGCCTGTCCTCATTTAAGTAACAGGGTAACAAAGGTACCTTTTGCATGCCAAAATAGCACTTTGACATTATTTAGAGTCTTAATGGATTAAGCACTCCTTTAAAGGGTTAGTTTAACATTTTGGGAAATGCGCTCATTTGCTTTCCTGCCAAGACTTGGATGAGATGATCAATACTAGGCTCTCGTACCAGTCTGGCTGTCATGGAAATTCTCCAGGAAGTGACAGCACCAAGCCAAGAAGGTGCTGTTGAGTCTTTATGCTAGGCTAAGCTAATCAGCTGCATATTTAATGGAAAGACAGGAAGGTGGTATCAATTGTCTTAACTTACTCTCGTCAAGAGAGCAAATAACTGCATTTCCCAAATTATCAAACTATGGCTTCCCGACGAGGTTTATGTTTAATTAACTTTTTTTTTTGTCCATCTCAATATTTTCACCCCTCTTCTCTTTCAGGTGGATAAACCAGTGTCTCGCATCAAACCAAAAAAGACACCAACAACAACAGGGAAGATGGTGAAAAAATCAAAAGAGAAGGTGCTTGCTAGTTCCCTGTCAGCCAAGAAGAAACCGTCTTTGGGCACCCCAGAACCCAAACCAGATGGAGTCGTCACCAAGAAGAGCAAAGAGATCAGCAATAGACTGGCTGAAGCAAACCACTAAATTAAGTTTCTCTCTACACTTTAATGTGTGTGATCAAAGGCGACATGACGAATTAGGCACATTTCTTCCTTTTGGTTTATTTCCTGACCTGTTGTTTTTGCTGTCCTGTCATATATTAGTCACCTTTAAATGGGCACTGATGTTGAGCTTTCAAAATAATGCAAGTCATTTCACTGTAAAATGTGAGTAAGTGTGTGTGTGTGTGTGAGACAGAGAGAGAGTGTGTGTTCAGATGTATGTAAGTATGTGATCCCTTGTGTTTTGGTGCACAAAACCGCTTTATATTATCGAGCACATTATTTGCACTTTGTTTATATGAGTTCTGTTTGACATCGAACCATAAAAAAAGCCATCAGTACACATATGTGTATGAAAGGGAATTTTTACCTTTGTCTTAATGAATAAAAACTAAAATCAGTTTTGAAATGATTGTAGAAAAAGTCAGGGGGATAGTTTTTCTCTCAGACTTTATCACATAAGAGGTGTTGTGACAGTACAACATATGTTTTAGGGTTGCTTTTCCTAGTTACAGTGCCTCCGCTGTATGGTCCTGGTTTTCATTTCATTGTTTGGGATGATATCTGGTCTTATCAGTTTGGTTGCCAAGAAACCAAATGAAGTGTAATATAATTGCTACGGCTTGCATGCAGGACACTGTGTTTGGTTGAGTGGCTACATTTCAGCAGACTATATGTCACACAGTCACATTGTTGCTTGTAAATTGAGCAACTAAAGATACATTTCTAGGGGAAAGAACTTTTCAAGTGTAATGCATGCGTAGTAATAGATTTTAGTCACACCGAAAAAACTAAAGTACATTCACGAAATCATAATCTAGTGGCTAATAAAGCTATTACCTAAACGCACCAGCAATATGGTTGTACCCACTAACACAATTCTGGCAATCTTAATGGAAATCCACTCCTTTGATTTAATGGGAATACTGCAGTACTTATTATGACTCAGTATTTGTGACATTGTATTCCGTCCTCTGATCTGTGATGCTGTAATTGTGCTAAATGAGAAGAAAAGAAATGTATGCATAAAGGCCTGAAAAGGGAAAAACTATTGTATTTACTCAATAAATGTCACTCTGAATGGGCTGATCTCACCAGGTGGGAAAGAACAAGGAATGGGCCAGGACTTGAAGTTCAGCTTTTTATAATGTTGCTGTCTGATAATACGCAAATGACACCTGTTCATTGTGAACATGACATGAGGGGTTTTTACTTACCTGTGGCGGCAAACATGGCTGCAGTGTGCGAGAGCCCAGTCAAGCACTACCCACCGTGAGTCTGCTTCAAGTTTAAGCTTCCGTGTGTGAGCCTGAGAGTTTTGATGTGTATGACCTTACAGCCTGCTGCCTGCTAGCACCATGTCTGACCTAACCATAAGACCTGCTGCTACACACTCCAACACCCTGGTGCTAAATCGCTCATTCTATATGCTGTCTGGTTTGGGCCACACGTGGCATCAAACCAGAGGGAAATTATGAAATAACAACGTCATACTGCTGCAGACGTGAAACTGTGCTTTTTCTCTCAGCTTGCTCTGGTTGAATTCTGAATAAAGTGATGATACTAACAGCTTGTGTTCTGACTTATTCTACCCTATAGGCATTAGTGTTTTTTATATATATTTTGTAAATTAAAGAGCAATATACATTCACACCCATAATCTAAATAAAAATGATTTTTGAGTTGTGTAAATGTGGTAAAATAACAAAACATTTAAATTAAGGATTAAGCAAACAAAAGCATTTTACTCTAGATTCCTGGTGTATAAAATGGCAGGGGGGCTTCTAAATCTGGCAGAGCTGTTGTTAGTTATTCCCTTCTAGTTCAATCAAACCCCCTCTTGTTTAATATCTTATTTGCATTTGGTGAAGCTGATTGTGGATGCTACAGTAATGATTAGTTATTTAAGTTTTCAAATTAAAAGGTAACCATTTAATTTATAGCATGTATTATGTATAACATCAGTATACAAAATAATAATAATAATACAAAATCGACCTAACCTAGTTTTTCAAAAAGACCTTGGAAAACCTTTCTTTTCAGCCATGTATTTTATTCTCACAGCCTTCCAGAAGCCAAATCAAGCACTCTCTTTTTTCTTTAGATGCAGGAATTGCAAACATATTCCCATTATGAAGAAACAAAGATTCAAAGTCCAAGTGAAAATATTATTTGATCGTTTTCCAGTTCATTCACTATAGCTCATGGCTGCTGCTGCTGGTCATTTCCTTGTGAATCAGTCATCCTGACATAAAACTGCATGAATAATTCAGTTGTTATGGGCCCTTATGTTCGCAGAACAGCATAAAATATTGAATAACAGCTCAGTAATGGCACTGGGTCTGCCTAAGCTCCATCCCTTCTATAAAAGACTTGTCTGGCTGGATACAGCTCCACCTACATGGTTATTTTATTGTGTTAAAAAGGGTTCAATAGAGAATTGATATACTTGATATTAAATATTCTACATGATTTAGTGGTGTACATTTTTTTATGTGGAAAAAATAACTTGCAGTTTCAAAAAGGGAACAAAAGAACCATAAATAATCATTAAATGTAAATGCTCAACTAAACAACAGCGCTGTAGGGGTTTATGAGTGTGCACCAAACCATTCTTTGACAAGCACCCTTGTGAAAATATTGTATTTCTTGACACACAACACATTGCATATTGTGGTGCTGATGATCAGCAAATGATGACCTCTAGTGGATAGGATTTCTTACACAATCTCAAAGCATCATGTAAACTGGATACAAAGTAAGGTTTCCGAATGCCAAGCAAAGTAGATTAGATTTCCATCTTTGCAATATCAAGTTCTTGAAGGTGTCCCCTGCTGGATGGTGTGAGTATCTCTCTACTTCCCTGGCTCGGATCTCTGTTATCCAAATAGCTACCAGGAAAATAAACCTATTATCACAACATGGCAAGTGTGGGAGTGCATCATACTGCAGTAACCATGGTCATGGTTGCTATGTCAGGAATACAAACTCACACTACATGGACGAAAACAACACTGTTGCCAATGCCATTTATGTATTAGTATTTTGATGCTGCCTTCTTGAATAAATGTATCATATTTACACTGCCCTGTTACTTTTATTCTTGTATTTAACAGTTGCAGTGTTACATTGTGAAGAACAGGTTAGGTTTTGTCCTTTTGAGCAAGGGTAATGATAATTGTACTGGTGGATTAATGGCAATCTGATAAACTATACATGTGCAACAAGGATATGTTGAAATGAAAGACGTAATATGAATAACAAAGTGAGTAATTGGTGGGAACTAGGAGGTTTTGTATTATTGTATTTACTAAGTAGAGTTTTAGATTAAATCCAGTAGTGGGCGGCAAAGCAATATTTGGGACGCTAGCCGCCATTTTTACCAGCGAAGAAGAAGGATGATAGTGACCGGAAATAAACAAAGCCAGACAAGCTGAGAGGAGGGAAGAGGCTCAGCTGCTGCAGCCAGGGACATTCATACTCGTAAGAGAACCATTTATTTAACGTCGTGTATAACAACAGAAACATAAGTATGTGTTTACAAATCGACCATTAAGATGTCAAACTGTAAACCATATACGTTTGCTGTTTTAGGAAAAGTCCGACAGAGTGCAAACCAGTGACAGGTTCAGCGTTAGCTAGACAACATGCTAACTCTTAGCTAGATTAACACAACAGACATAATACATAATCAGCATTTGAAAAACCACTATTTTCTAAATGAAAATAAAAAGCCACTCCGAATGGATTTTAGTGAGTGCAGCTTTCAGTCAGAAAAGAGAATCAGTTCTCAGCTAACTTTAGGTTATGTCTGTTTAACCGGTGTTTACATTTCAACATCTTGCTATTATCATATGCTAACTAACCAATTCTGATTCTCATTCGGGATTGTTAGCAGCAGCTGAGCTCACATTAATCACCATCATGATGACAACTAAGAGACTAGACAATTTTGAGGTGATGTGTGAGTGGGATTCATGCGACTTCAGGGGCTGCACCGTGGAGGAGCTCAGCGATCATATGGCTCTGCATTTAAAGGACTACCTGGGAGACAACGACGCCTTAGAGGAGCTTGGTGAGTAACTGAGGATCATACAAGACAAACTAAAGGATCATGCTGTGTCACTTGCAGGGCTGGAAATAAATATGACCTTTCAGTCATTCTAACCTTTATGTAGTTAGGAACTCATTCTAAATCATCTATAACAATGTTCACACCAGGTCAGTGTTGTTAGTCTTACTATAGGCTAATGTATTGCTTATGTATGGTGCTAACTACAGGAAAAGGTTATCTTTTGTAACTTAAAATGCATTAACGACATGTGTACACACTTGGTTACAATGTAAGACAACAACACTGTCCTTTTTTGCAATAGGGCAACAACTAGTCTGAAGAAATATACTAGTCATAAAGGTTTATGTCTGTAAATGTTTAGGTGATTGCCCTAACCTACTCAATCAAATCTCAGCGAGCTCCCTGTACACAAAAACAGTCATTTCTAAACTGCAGTTGTAACTCCTTCCCTTTCTTTGTTTAGACGAGTATGCTTGTCTCTGGAAAGGGTGTCAATTTCTAGCCATGGGCTGCCCTGCGGAGCTGGAGGTCCACGCTCACTTCCACAATTATCACGGTAAGCTGAAGTTCGTCGGGGCGAGGCTTCTCAAGTCCCGCCCCGACCTACCCAGCTGCAACGAAGGTCTGCACAGCAGCAACCTGGTTCCCGAAGGGTCGGATGGATACGTCTGCCAATGGGAACACTGTGATGTAGGTTTTTCCTTTTTAATTAGAATGATCCATTGGTTATCAAATGATTGATAGCACCAATATTAATTAAGTTATGTTCTTCTTTTACACAGAGTACATTTAACAATCCTGAGTGGTTTTACCGACACGTGGACAATCACGTTGAAAGTGCTGAGCCACAGTCCCTCCCTCATCAGCAGCAGACTTTCTTATGCCCCTGGACAGGTATAACAAAGTCAAAACAGATCAATGAGATGTTCCTATTATAACTTCAGCCCAATTCAAAAGCATCCCCTACACACTCCTTCTCTGTGACAGAGTGAACTCCATCTGTAGTCATACTCACAGCTGAATGAGGCTCCTTTTATTCAGGTGCAGGGCGTAGATACAGCAGTAAGCTTTGGAACATCTGACCTCTCTCCTGGCAAACACAAAACGGAACTTTTGCAACAATGATTGAGAATCAGCTTCTCTTGGGCTAAAAGTATACGTTATAATAGGGCTGCTCAATTAATCGGCTTGCAACGATTATGAAAACAACATCATCGAAAAAATGTTTTCCAATAAATTGATGTTTTCAAAGTAAATGGATAATTGTTTTTAATAATCGTGATATCAATTATTGACCCAAATAATCGAGATTATGATTTTTGCCATAATCGAGCAGCCCTACGTTATAATTATAATAAACCACCAAAAATCTTTAAAGGCGTTCCTTTTTTTGCTAAATCAGATGTTTATGAGCCTTTTTTACAGTACCTGTAAATATCAAAAAACTTGACAATCAAATGCACACATCTGCTGTGTACCAGATGAAGTATACAAACATACAAGTTCATCTTCAAGTTGTTAACATCTGTCTGACACAAACAGTGTTGCACTTGGTCAGGTATTACCGGTTATTAAGTCAGGACCCATGCAGACTCGCTCTTTGAGGGTTTTATAACGGTGCAAATGGTGTTGAAATGGGTAGGGGGAGAATGTTGGAGTTGGATTGGAATAGAGCCTTTAAGTTTGACCTTATCTGAACCTCATATTTCTTTTACAGGCTGCGATGCTTCCTTCAAAATCCGATACCGTCTGAGGGAGCACATGCGGAGCCACACTCAGGAGAGACTGGTGGCTTGCCCGACGTGTGGCAACATGTTCTCCAGCAACACTAAGTTGTTCGACCACCTGCACAGGCAGGCCGAGCCAATAGGTGAAGGACTCTTCATTATTTCCACGATGCAGATAGATCTGATAGTATTGCCTGTATGCTGAATTCTGTTCCTTTACCTCTAATTTGAGCAGATTCACTGGTGTGTGAACATTGTGGCAAAGCTTTTTCCAACGAGAGGCTGTTGAGGGATCATGTTCGTCAGCATGGTAAGCATCTATTCTACAACTTTGTTACCTTGTTACATTCTGGGTATGAAAAGAGGATTTAGTGTGATGTTAGGCGTGGATACAGTCGGGTTCATTTAGATAGAAGGCAAGGCAAGTTTATTTATATAGCACCTTTCAACACAAGGCAATTCAAGGTGCTTTACAAAAAATGAAAGACATTCAGACAAAGGCATTTAAAAAAAAAGATAGATAGAATGGGAGGGATGAAAGCCTCTTTAATGGTCACACATACATGCACACAGCACACAGTGACATTTGGCCTCTGCATTTAACCCATCCTAACTACTAGGGCAGCTATTTTACAGCGCCCGGGGAGCAATGGGAGTGGGGGGGGAAGGGGGATGTCCGGTGCCTTGCTCAAGGGCACCACGGCAGGGCAGGAGGTGAACTGGATCTCCAAATCGCAGTCCACACTCCATATTTAGGTCTGGTCGGGGACTTGAACCGGCGACCCTACGGCTCACAGTCCAAGCCCCTACTGACTGAGCCACTGCCGGACAGTGAAGGGCTAATGAAAATAATAATGTCGCTAGAGTTAACAATGTCCAAACCGTAGACACAGACATGTTTGGCAAGTATTATATCTAATTGTTGCTCTCTTGTATTCCAGTGAACCAGGTGAAGTGTCCCTTCTGTGACATGACCTGCACCACTTTGGCAGCTCTGAAGATCCACATCAGATTTCGCCACTGTGACGAGCGGCCCTTCCCGTGCGACTTCTGCGACAAGAGGTAGATCTTTGGACAGCTGATTGGATGTCCAGCTGACAAGTGTTGTTTACAGCCACCCCTGAATTGTGTCTTCACGTATGTTTAGCATTAAAAGCAATATCAAGCTTCAATAAAATACCTTTTTAAAATGCTTTATCACTCAGGGTTATCCTTCAGAACCTGTTAGTCAGTTTATTTGTAAAAATAAATGTCATCAAATTATTCAAACGTTTATTTCACATTTCGTTCTGCAACTGAGAAGTTACAAAAATCAAAGAGGTGGACAACACTTTACATTTCTTAACATACTGTTGGGCTATTTGTCCTAGCATGTTATCTGCTGGTTGGATCCTTTTACTTGCATTTGTAACCAAATAGCCTTTAATATCTACTCTGTACAGACCTGAATATCCTTATCCACGTTAGCTTTTTATTCGATTACCATTATTTATGGGAAAAACCTTTTAGTAACAAATGTATTTTGATTGTCCTATTAATGTAATTCCTCTGGTATATTTCTTTGTCATTTGAGTTGCAGAATGTGAACATATTCTTTGAGTATGTTGTGTTTAAAGAGTACCTTTATCCTTTCCTTTTCAGATTTAAGAACCAGCGCGACCTGCAGAAGCACACCGAGGTTCACAATGAGGGCACCGTGTATCACTGTACAGTGGAGGGCTGTGATTATTCCTGTCACACATTTCCAACCATGAGCTACCACTACAAGAGAGCGCACCAGGTTTGTTAGTGTAAAACCTATTTTGATTGCAATGACAACCTGCTGTAATCTCATTGAGAGTTACAGAATTGTGTTGTTTACATGATTCCATGATGGACACCAACAGGTCGGAGGGATGTCCAAATATAAATGCCATATCTGTGATAAGGTCTTCTCCTGGTGTTACACTCTCACACTTCACCTCCGCAAGAAGCACGAGCTGAAATGGCCGTCTGGACATTCTCGCTTTCGGTAAGTCACAACAGCAATTAAAACTGAAACCACTATTTCTTTAAACCGCTCAACTTCTCATCCTTGGAGGGGGGAAGAGACATCAAATGCAATTTAAGTGATTCAAAGTTGAAATAATCCATATTTGATCCGAGTTTGTTCCACATGCTTTCTTCACAGTTACAGAAAAGACGTAGACGGCTTCCTAAAAGTGAACATGGTGCGGTTTGAGACTGTGGAAGTGACGAAGGAGATCATGAAGAACATGGCCAAAAAGCCGCAGAGCCTTCGGAAAAGTCAGAGAACGAAGAGGGCTGCCGTCCCACCGGAGAGCAGCCGGAGCTCCCCCGCAGGGTCCTCCTCGCCCTCCTCCAGCTCCTCCTCCTCGTACGGCTCGGATCTCTCTGGAGCGGAGGACGTCTCGTCTCAGCCGAGCCCCCGAGGAAGCGACTCTCCGGTCTACTGCGTGATGAGCACCATCCCTCTCATCGAGGAGGAGCCCGGGGGGTCGTCGCAGGAGGACTGTGACGGCAGCGGGACGTCGGGGGCGGTGCAGGCCCTGACGGAGGTGGCGAGGGGCCTGGGCATGGACGTGGTGTGACCATGCGCTATTGTTTGCTGTGTGAGGGCCATCAGGGACCAGAACTGTTTTATACCCAAAGCTTTCGCGTGGTCTCAAGAGCTTTTAGTGTGGTTTTATTTACCTTTTAGGAGGGCCCATGTTCCTTTGGGCAGCTCTTATTACCTACAATGCCTTGGCTTTGTGATGCTTCCTATCTAAGGGATGCCGGTTAATTTTCTTTCTTAATTTAAGTTTCTGACCAAGTTGACATGAATGAGAATAACTGGAAGCACTATGAAGTTAGTTCCTTATACATTTTATTCTTAACACACCTTGTTCCACAGTGTGTTCCATGATGTTGCCCGACAGAGGCTTTCAGAAGACATTATTTGTTGATGTATTGTTTTAATGCTGCTTGATTTTATTGTTACAAATTTGAAATACATTTTTGATACTAAAGTAACATTTCTTGTTGTTGTTTTTGTTCTTACCCCACCTGTATGAAAGCCAATAGGATTTAAGTCCTGTCTTTTTATCCAGTTCAATATGTCGTCCCCTCTATCTCCCCGTTTCCTCTCTTCTTGGCTTAACTTTGTAATGAAACGGCAAAATAGCCCCAAAATTAGTTTGTCCATACTTTGGTTTATGACCAAATACCTAATGCCGTTCCCTTCAGCTTTACTTTGTGTTAAGTGCCAATTAGTTTTAAACTAAGATGGTGATCATGGTGAAAATGATACATGCTGACATCAGCATGATAGCATTTATTATTATTATATCATTGTAAACATTGTAGAACATAATAAATTACGCTTAATGCACAAATCACAGAGACTCTATCAGCTGCATTTCCTTTTAGTTTGGCAGATTTACAATTATCTTTTTAAAACTTTTTTTCCTTCCAAACAAGAGAATTGATCACCTGGCCAAAAAAAAAATCACATGCATCCTAAAAAAATCTTATAACTTAAAAACAACAACCTTTCAATCAAAGGGAAGCATTACAGATAAGTATGACTATAAAGTCGCCAAAAGGCATTTAAGAAATCAATGTTTGGTAATAATATTTGTTGCTCAAATGAAGCTGTTTTAATGCAAAAGTATATTTTATTGATAAATGAATCAATAGATATCCACAGTTGTTTCTACATCCTGGACACTGTGGAGCCCTGTTGAAATAAAGTGAACCTATCAGACAGGGAGTAATGGGTAATCTATCTCATGGGAATATCTACTTTCCTCTCAGGGCCTCAGGTAGGATGTTGTCAGTCAGCCAGGATGATGGAGATGACTGTTCATGTGACGTGAACTAAGGTAAAAAGATTGCTGTTGCATCAAAGCAAGAGGGAAATAAAGAGGCAGCGCATAGTAACCAAAAGTCTCTTTTTGCCTCATTGCAACAGGAGGTACCCTGATTGCTCTGCAGGTATTCAAAGAATAATCTTTTAGGAGATGTTGTCTAGAGTAGAGATCCATTATCTTGTGAACACCCCCAATTGGATCCCATGAAGCAGTTTGGTGGGGATGCATGTCAGATCCTGGATAAGAGACGAGTGTTCTGGTGACATGACATCTACTGCTGTTAGGATACAGGCCGGACAAAGCATGTGTGTTTATGTGTTGCTCTGGCATGGTGTGAGTTGTACTGAGCGGAGATGGATCAGACCTGTCCTCTACAATTTCCTGCTTCACCCTCTTACATTGAATGGAGCTGACACCTTCGAGCTGCCTCTTCCTGCCATGTGATCCGCTGTGTTCAGGTTCAGGAGTTGGATTCAAATATTTGTCTCTTGGAGGTGAAATGTCTGTTGTTTCACCTTGTTGGCTCCTGTGTTTCTCTTTTTCATCTAGTTCCTCTCTCCGGTTCAGGACCAGGGGCTGTTCCAGTTTCTCCCTTTTGTTAGTATGGCTGTAAGGCGCTGGTGATGATTGGAAATATTCAGCGGGATATCTTCTGTTGAAGTGGTTTGAATGTCCTGCTGTTTTTCCTGGCTCACTTCTGTCACTTGTGTTTCCAAATGCAGGATGTTTATAGGGAGAGTCTAAGAAAGGAGAAGCAGTTCAGTTTCAATAGTTTGACAAATATAATACAGTTGCAAACTTTCTTACAATGCTGAACTCACCAATCTTTGGCTGAAAGCAGGAGGGCTGCTCTGATTCCTTGTCAGGTAAACTGGATGCAGGATACTCAGGTGTCAGATCTTGGTGGAAACTGTTGGGTTTCTGCTGCATTTCCAGGTGGATACAGTTTTTATAGCACAAAATTGGTTTTGGAATGAGATAGAAAATAACTAATCACAATCACGGTCAAAAGAAAACATTTTAGTACAACAAAAATGCACAATATTATGTTTACTATATGTATTTCTCCTTTAAATTAAGTGTGTTATTATGCCTGTCAACTGACGACTTAAAGCTTTTGGATTAATTATTATATTAAACAAAACACTTTTTCACACTATGGCTTATTTTTATTCAGATATAAAATCCCCAAATCAAGTTCCATGGACTTGAGTTTCAGCCACAAAATAAGGAGAATGTGTACAAATACCTTCTAATGTATCAGTTTATGTGAATACAATTTGATGCAATTACTTATTACCTTGATTTGCTTCTGGTAATATATCTTCCATGCAATCCTGACATGCAGGGCGCCACATCTTCCTCGTTTCTGAACAAATAAATGCAACAAACTGTCAGAGGTGTTAGACAAAATGTACCAAAGTAAGAAAGTAGCTTGACTTTTAGCTTGGTTGACATGTCAGCTTTTATCGGTGCATGTTGGACTCACTGTTGAACTGAAGGGTTTCTGTGCTGCTTTGTGAAAGGCAGTGACAGGAGCAAAAGAGCGCCTCGTCCTCGCTCTGGGGAGGTGCATGTTGAACTGTAGCAAGAGGTTAAAGACAACATCTTTAAATTATTGTCGCACACTTAGTGGCAATAAGCTAAAAATGACATTCAAACATCAAATAACATTACAGAATAGGCCTCAGATGAACATCGGTACTTTTTGATTAACATCACTGCTAAGTAAAGTGACACATCTGCTTACATTATTGTCCTGAGATGCCATCTGAGCAGGTGTGGTGGCCAAGGAGTGGCACAGGATGGGATTGTAGGCATGCTGGTGAACATACTGATGCATGGGAAGATGTTGAAGAGCCAGTTCGTTTTGGAGCTTGAGGAACTTTAATGTGTGGGTTTGCTCCTGGCTGGTTGAACACCTAATGGTCACAAATTCAGATTGATCTCTTCCTTCCGATCAGGGATGAACCTTATAGTCGAGACACAAACGGCATGAAAAAATGAACAATATTTTACACACAACTATGCAAATCACATGCAAATGACAGTATCTTAAATTAAATTAAATTGCATTACTAACAGTAATCCAATTTAGGAACCCAGTATGGCAATCCATTTAATTAATTGAGGATCCATCCTTTCCAAGAACACATGATTATAACAGCTGTGAGTGATCACTGTGATTGCAATTATTCTGTGTGAATAAGTAGAGATGGGAAGTAGTGGAGTACAAATACTTCGTTACTGTACTTAAGTACATTTTTCTGGTATCAGTACTTTACTCCACTACCTATTTTTCTGACAACTTTTTACTTTTACTTCTTACATTTTGAACACAAATATCTGTACTTTCTACTTCTTACATTTTCAAAACAGGTTTGTTACTTTAGTTTTAATCTGTGTTTGGTCGGTGGCGTGATCATTATTATTTAGAGTCATTGCGTGCCTATTGATTTGAACACGATCCGTGTATCCATCATTTCCTGGTCTTCTCTAAAGAAGAGGGACCAATGGAAACTTTGTCATGTTGCCGTTGTTAAGCATCGAAACATTCATTAGCTAACAAAGACATTATTGTTCTATTAATATAAAGGGAGGTCAGTTACTCTTTAAAACAGCTGGTAGTTATGGGTAATTTTTACTTAAGTACATTTCGAAGCCGATACTTCTTTACTTTTACTTGAGTAAAGAAGATTAGTCAGTACTCCTACTTTTACCAGAGTATTTTTAAACACAAGTATCTGTACTTCTACTTGAGTAAAGGATGTGTGTACTTTTGCCATCTCTGAATATAAGTAGCGACAGTGAGGCCCTACTTTGAATTTACTGGGTATTGGGCAAGAACATTTCAGATAAAGTTGGTGCAGGTATCCTTCCTTCCTTATGAGGATCTCCTTCATCCTTCTGTTTGTGTCAGTGCCTGTTTAACCCCTTTAGGCCAAAGCAATCCAATAGCCTGATCCCTCCTTTCTCATAAAGACAAGATTAGCTGGAGGTTAGACATCCTATGTTCTCTAAATTGTGCCCATGTCAGCGTGCCAAAGAAATCTCTTAATCTGATAAAGGAACCGTTTGTCAGAAGCGCATACTGAGTGAATGAGGCCTCAGAGTACTTTCCTCAAAGCACCCTGATTATACATCAGTCAAATCTTAATACTTACATTAAAAAAAGTTCCAAAAGCACTTTAAAACCAATAGTTAATAGTTGTATTTTAGTCTGCTGGTTTAAACAGACAAAACGTTAAAGGACTACTTTAATGATTTGATTTTACAACCTATAGAGAACAAATTATTTAATAGAATACAGATTGAATAGATGATTTGGAAGATAAAATAACTATTGTTTAGCCTATAGCCTATTAACTGTTGATTGAAGCACTAAACAGTTAGAACAACAGATGGATAACCTGTTAAAAAAAAGTGCCCCTTGCTTGAGAGATAATATGTAAATCTTTGTTTTAACCCTTGTGTTGTGTTCGAAAGCTGTTACGTTCATGGTGTTCGCGGGTCAATTTTGACCCATGATTTATTTCAGTCCAAAACACACACAAAAAATGACTATCATCCAATATTGTTTTAACTACATCATAAAAAACGTATTATGCATTTATAACCGTACAATCCTGTTGTAATTGTATTGTATGGCCCCAAAACACATTACACCACATATTGTGACCCGAATACCAAATTATACACTTATTTTTTTAGAGACCTTCAGACTTGGCTAAAATTGT